TTGTTTTTTTATAAAAAATGTGTAATACAATTTTAAAATATAAACATTGTTTTTTATTGTGTATATGTGTACAATTATTGCACAATATAATTATCTTGACTTCTCTGCAGCATGGTGTGTATGTGAAACTGCCCCATTTAATAACGTACATATGGCCCTTAATAGAATTAAATAGCCTATCTAGGAAACAGAATCTGCGCGCAATCTGCCGTCAGTCTGTCGTCAGAATCTGTTGACAGGCTCTGCGCGCAGTCTGTCACCAATCTGTCGTCAGAGACTGCTAAAACAGTTTCGGTGTGCAGTCTGTTGCCATTCTGTCAATAGATACTGTTGACAGACTCTGCGTAAAATTTGCTCGCACAGGTTTGGCTATCTGGGTAATTACTTATTATCCAGTATTTTTAATACTGAAAGTAAGTAATTATCAATGATTCTTAGTATGATATTTCTATAAGGATATGCAAATGTTAATTACACTTTTAATTTAATATGAAATATAATATTTATTTGTTAATTATTTCTTACTATTGTCTGCGTTCTTTATCGTAATAAAATAGATTGAAATAAATTAATAACTCCATATTCATACATAACACTTTTTTATTATTTCTTTATTTAAAAGTCTCCTTATTAAAAAGAAAGTATTACAGTACTTAATTACAATAAATATAAGTAAACATTTATAATCAACATGTTTACTTGCACACAAGCAATGTGGTCCGCCATGTTGTTTGTGCACTAAAGCATTCTTTAGCTGCGTTCCGAAATTCACTGCCAGTATTGAAATTCTATAGTATATGTAACATGAACTATAGATTTTCAGTACTGGCAGTGAATTTCGGAACGCAGCCTTTATTGCTTGACTGCAAGCTTAAGCCAGCTTTACACGGTGCTTGTTTTCGTGCTGGATTGTTTGCTGGATGGAAATACTCTGTTTTGATTGGTGTATTTCCATCCATCTTTAGAAATGCACCAATCAGCAAGCAATCCAGCATGAAAACAAGCACCGTGTACCGTTGGCTTTACACTCGTCAGTTCTGGGAGCGGTGCAGCTATTTAACTGCACCACTGAACTGGTGCAGTAATGGCTCTTGCACACAGGACGCGGTAATGCTTGCCGCACGGCGGAAGTTCGCGCGACAGCCAATCAATATGCTGCTTTCCGTAATAACCTTCTAGCTCTTACGGAAAAACAACATATTGATTGGCGGACTTCCGCCGCGCGGCAAGCATTACCGCGTCCTGTGTGCAGGAGCCATAACTCTACTCGAGCATCGGAAAGCAGTACTGAGTTGTTTTGAACATGAAGATGCTAGATGGTTGTGCCTATTACATTTTTCGACCCTAGTGGAACTAACTTGTACTCGGTTTAGCATAAACACCCAATACTTGCAGTAAATAACGGAACGCCTAAAAATGTTTGCTGTGGGTGCTTTCCAGTTCCGTACACTGTGTTACACAAAACCAGTTTATTGGTTGCATATTATCTTACAAGATATTTTAGATAATATGTGACCAATAAACTGGTTTTGTGTACGTGTGTGTCAAGAGGTTTGTCGCGTCAAATGCCTCAACGTGCTCCTACTCGCTTCAACGCACTTTGATTGGTTACATCACCATGCGGACCAATCAGAGTGCGTTGGAGCGAATAGGAGCACGTTGGGGCATGCGACGCGACAAACCTAAAGATGCCAATACATGGGAGCGTTCCAGCGTCGTACGTTAAAGCGTTAGCCAATCAACGTATCAGGTCCCAGAAGTATACTTGTAGTTCTTGCGGAAAGTGGCACGTTGATTGACTACCGCTTTAACGCTCGACGCTCGATGCTCCCATGTAAAAGTACTTTAAGATGTGTTAAGCAATTGGAAAGCACCCTTTATGTATATACGTCGTTGTAGAGACATTATATCGAATTTTCATGGTTAATTTTCGGCATTACCAACTTTATAGTATAGATTGAAAGGACAGAACAGCTGCTATGTGACAGCTGTCGTGCATTCGTCATGTCTGATGGCATTTTATGGTTAAAGGTTCGCTGAAATTCACGATAGTTTGAATGATATGTAGTAATCATTTTACATTGGATTATATTCTATAGTTGCTAAATGTATGCTAATTCATCATATTTTGGAAATAATTTTCCAAATTTGTTGTTGTCGAGATTTGTCAAATGATTTTTTAGCAATAACGTGAAAAAATATACTATGAATTAAAATGTAATATTTCCAGCAATTTTTTAGATTTTTACTATTTTGCTTATTGAATATGATGTTTTATATACAATAAATTATTGTTATATATACACATTTATAAATTTGTATTTATATATATATACACAATATATTCAAGCTATATCATGCTTTTTATATTAAATATTACTTTTATATTTACAGATATTTGTCATACAAGCTCCTCTGTGAGCATTAGAACTATAGGACTACTTTGAACAAATGCTTCCTTGAAAAAAGGCTATACAATGTTTTCTGCTATTAAGAGGTTAGCTGGCAAATCTGAAGCTATTGGCAATGTATCTCCCAGACCAGCACATCAGTCCATGCCAACGAATCTACAAAGAAAGTTTGCTAAAGGTGTACAATACAACAGTAAGTGTATATGTTTGTTATAGAATGATATACATATTGTAGGATATATTATAATTTAAAATTTTATGCATTATTTTTAGTGAAAATAATAATAAAGGGAGACAGAAATGTAGGAAAGACATGTTTATTCTATAGACTGCAGGGACAAAAGTTTATTGAAGAATATATACCCACAGAAGAGATACAGGTGGCTAGTATACAGTGGAATTACAAAGCCACAGATGATGTGGTTAAGGTTGAGGTATGGGATGTCGTAGATCGCGGTAGACGTCGTAGACGGCTAGAGGGCCTAAAAATGGACAATGTCCCAACTGCAGAAACTAATGTTATTGAGGAACCTGTGCTAGATGCAGAGTTTTTGGATGTTTACAAAAATACTAATGGTGTCATCATCGTTATGGATATCACCAAGAGCTGGACGTTTGATTACGTTCAAAGAGAACTGCCGAAAATACCTAACCACATACCTGTTATAGTTCTGGGTAATCATTGTGATATGTCGCATCATAGAACTGTCACTGCAGACCATGTGACATATTTTATAGATTCGTTGCATGAAAGAACTGCTCAGGTAATTTTAAACTATGTTTATACAATTCTATACAATATACAATTCTTTATATATTAAAACACTAAAATAGTAATATTATTATTAGAGGGAAAGTAGTAGTCTTCTATTTCTAGAAAATATTTTTTATCGTGGTTTTATAATCAATTCATCTCTTTAATAAGAACCGGAAGGATCTTGCATATTTTAGATAAAAAATGATTTTTGATTAATTTTTTGCTGAAATTGAAAGATGTTACTGTCCTCTTATCTTCTTGATAAAAAGTGTCAATGGACATAACTTCCTAAGATCAATAGTTTCATTGCCACAGAACTTCAAAGCCTTAATATTAAGATTCGAAGGTAAAACAAACATATAATTCAAAAGTTTATTTTTACTTAAATAAAATGCATGTGTGATAATTAGAGAATAGGTTGATATAATTTGGTGTGGTTAAATGTGCATATATCATAAACATCATAAAACTTTTATATAAAATATATTTTTATATAAAAATATTTTATACTCTACAACAAAGTATTCATATTTTTCGAAAATATAAAAAAATTAAAAAATCCGTTATTTTTGAAAAGTTGCTTCAACCCTTAAACGTTGAGATACGTCATTGTAAAAATACAAAAATATAAAAATATAAATATAATATTTCTCTATATTCTTTTAATAATATCTCTTTTTTTCTGTATGTAAAGCCCATTAAAATCGGTGAAAGTTCCGATCGTTCCTTTATGAGTAGATTAATATTAAGGTTTTAAAATTTAAATCCTAGGTTGATATTAAGACTTTGAAGTTCTGTGGTGATAAAATTTTTGATTTTAGAAGGTTATGCATATTGACACTTTATCAAGAACCTAAAAACATATTCTAATTTCAGCAAAAAATTAACCAAGATGCATTTTCCATAAAAAATGTGTGGATTCTTTTATATTATTAGTTATAACTTCTTAATTTTAAATTGTTTTATATATTATGCCACAATATAATTATAATTTAAGCATACTAAAATTTATTTAAAAAAATCACGTCGCTTAGTATTTTTAGTTTTTATAAAAATTTTGTAATTGTAAAGAGATCTGTATAATTATCAAATTTAAAACTGATAACTTAAAACTTTCGAGGTGCGATTTATATTGATAAATCGATTAATTACGAATTAAAATCCAATTATAATTATAGATTTATTTAATTTCACATTAAAATTGAGTTTGCGCGGTTTTTTTTATAGGTGAGGTACGCAGAATCGTCGATGCGAAATGGCTTTGGTCTTAAGTTGCTGCACAAGTTTTTCAATTTACCGTTTTTGCAACTGCAGCGCGAGACGCTGCTGAAACAACTCACAACAAATGAGGAAGAGACACGGCTGACCATACAGGAGCTCGATCTTTTTCAAGATAGTGACGACGCGGATTACGACAAGTTTTTGGACAATCTTGTGAACCGGCGGAGGGCTCTTGCGGATTCTGTATCTGCAAGTAATCTAGCCTCAAGTGTTATTTCATTGTCCATGAGCAATAATCATCTCACATCATCGACAGGAAATAGTGCTAATACCGCCGGAGAAGTCAGAAGATCGGCCTCAATGCCAGGCCCAATCGGTGGTGGGAATCCTATTCCGATAAAAAGTTTAGAGCTTAAGTCGAGCTTACCGAAGCAGGAGAACTCTACGGCGGGCGTATTGGATAATTCATCTGGTTCTGTGAAGTCTGCGTATATTATAACGTCGACTTCCGCTACTCAAAATATTGCTCCTAACTTGCTAATGGGAACAGCTAAATCAACCGAGTCTGTAAACGATAATAGCGAGAGAAGAGATTCGATTAATCGGCCACAATCGCTCATGTCAAAGATTTTTGGTCACAAAAAAGAGGACGAGGCAGACAGGCTGCCGCATATCAAGAGTCTCAGCTTGAATGCACCATTGACAAGCGTGGAGGACTTTGTGCCAGATGATGGAATGTTGGACAGATCGTTTTTAGAAGACAACAATCAGGTTTCGCCACAAAAGATGCAGCAAGAGGAAATAGATTCGGAGAGGTAATTGAGCAATTGTCTTTTGATGGAAAATGATTGCGTGAAGTAATTAAAAATTAAAAATTTTTTATGGAAAATGCATCTTGGTAAATTTTTTGCTGAAATTAGAATATGTTACTGTTCTTAGGTTCTTGATAAAGTGTCAATACGCATAATCTTCTAAAATCAATAGTTTTATCACCACATCATTTCTTAGGCTGCGTTCTGAAATTCACTGCCAGTACTGAAAATCTATAGTTCATATTATATATTATAGAATTTCAGCACTGGCAGTGAATTTCGGAACAGAGCCTTAATATTAACCTAGGATTAAAATTTTAAAACATTAATATTAATTTACTCATAAAGGAACAGTCGAAACTGACTTTCATCGATTTTAATGGGCTTTACATATAGAAAAAAGAAATACTATTAAAAGAGTATAAAGAAATATATGTATTTTTATATTTTTATATTTTTACAGCGACGTATCTCAACGTTTAAGGGTTGAAATCGTAATTTATCTTCATTGCTACTACAAAATAAACTTTCTTTTTTCTAATTTTATTTGATTTATCTAAATTATAACGATATGTAATATACATATCGGACATAGACATTGGAAAGATTTGTGGATTTATGTATAGAAATAGTCACATTAAATATGTAACTTATATAATCTGTTGATTTATCCAGAAAATAATATTTTATTTTTATCATCTGAAGAAATTAAAAGCTTCTTTTAATTATACATTAATTAAATTATTAGTTTAATTGTTAAGTATAATATTGTTTTAAAACATTATCGTAATATGTTGATACTAAAAAAAAACTTTTTTAAAGTAGTATGCTGCTTTTGTAATTTACTTCTGACAAACATTAGTAGATAATGTTTCATTCTCTTGCAAAGTTTGTGTATAACTATCAGGTGATACAACTTACCCATATTTAAAAATAGAGCAAACAATGTTTCTAGAAATAATTTTTTCACATGTTTAGTGACACGGAAACTGCGAATCCTTTGGTAGCCGGTTACGAGGACGATTTATCCTCCATTGAAGAGATAGCATCACCTGTTCAGCCAAAATTAGCGGAAAATCCACTCTTTAAGCAGAAGCATAAACTGGAAACATTATCAGGTCCAGAGAAAAGCATCGAGAATGCACGATCGGGCGGCAAGCGCGACTCAGTTTCCTCTATAGAGCAAGAACTGCATATCTCTAATAACTACGAATCAAATGAGCAACCGGACACAAATTCGGACGCTTTTGACAGTTGGTTGCGACGCGATTCCAAGTGGCGACAAAGTCCAGAGGGAGGAGAAGACGTGAGTAGCACTAGTACAAGAAAAGACAGACTGGAACTCAGCGATAAAAGTCTGGATGTCAGCGTGACAAGTTCTAACGTTCACCTGGAGTTGCTTGATGATACCAGCATGCGCCATGTAAGCTCGAATGGCAGTAGTCCAGTGATGAAGGAAAAAAAGAAGCACAGAGATAAAGTAATTATCTTTTATATAGGGCGATTGCAAAAATATAAAGATAGAGATAGAGGCAGAGATGAGAGAGAAATGTGGAGATATTTTATATATTAGAACACCACATAGCGCGCGCTTCGCGCGCGCCACTTTAGCCTTTTCATTGTATTTACAATTTATATTATAATACTCGTTTTTACAAATTATATTCCCAGCAAATACAATGTTACATGTAACGTACATGTTAGTTGTAATTTCCTATTCAACAATGTAACTGTTATATAACACGTATATTATATAACAGTTATATTGTTTGTTGAGTAAGAAATTACAACTAATATTTATGTTACATGTAACATTGTGTTTGCTGGGATTACAATAAATATCATATTTATGTGGCGCGAATAACACAAGCTGATCTGTCACCGCGGCTGATAGCTGCAAGCGGCACGAATTCAACTGCGACGGGATCGAGACAATCGAGACGGTTGAGACGACCAATTAGCATCGCGGAAAAGAGGCTTCACCCACTTCGATATATTCAAGATTTAGTTAACACGCACTTTTTCTGATAGGACTAGAACACCACATAGCGCGCACTTCACGCGCGCCACTTTAGCTTTTTCGTTGTATTTATAATTTATATTATAACATTCATTTTTACAAATTATATTGCCAGCAAACAATTTTATGTGTAACTAATATGTATGTTACATGTAACATTGTGTTTGCTGGGATTAGAATAAATATCAAATTCATATGGCGCGAACAACACAACCTGATCACCGCGGCTGACAGCTGCAAGCGGCACGAATTCAACTGCGACGGGATCGAGACAATCGAGACGGTCGAGACGGCCAATTAGGCCAATTAGCGTCGCGGAAAAGAGGCTTCACCCACTTCGATATATTCGAGATTTAGTTAACACGCACTTTTTCTGATAGGATTCCTATAAATAGATTTCTATAAAAATTATTTATGCGTAAAATATTTATATTAAAATATTAATATTTTAAAATATTGTGTCTATCGCAATAATATACAGGGTGTCCCGTCACTACCGCATTATCTTTTAAGAGCGGATTCCTGATGTAATTTGAATACAAAAAATCCTAATGCAAAAATAGCGAGGCTATAATACATTGCAAATTATAAACGATTAAAGTTGACCAATTATCCTGACTAAAATACGCGCGCTCATGTACGGTACACACACAATAGTATCGGTGCATGCATATGTCGTTCCTTTTTCAAATATTGATACGGAAGTTCCATACATACAACAACGTATATAATAATAATCTGCCTTTTCTATCATTTAAATAAACATCGCCAATAATAATAACAGTTTCGTCAAAATGTTATGAATAAAATATCACACATTTATGAGAATCAATAAGCTGTCACATATTTGACGTTTCTTTCAGAAATTTTCAACTAATTTTATATCTTGTGCAAATTCTCACTTATGTGCATGAATCTGTACCATTATGTGTTGTACCGTATCTGAGCGCGTATACTTTAGCTAATATAATTGGTCAAATTTAATTGTTTATAATTTGAAAAGTATTATAGCCTCGACATTTTTGCATTAGGATTTTTTTTTCAAATTATCTCAGAAATCCGTCCTTAAGAGATAATGCGGTAGTAGCGGGACACCCTGTATATATATATAGGGTGTCAGGTAACTAATTGACCAACCACCGTGTACGAATAGAACGGGTCAAAATAATCATAAAAGTTATATACCATTTTGAAATTTTCTCAATATTTATTCCGTAATTAATTAAAATGTATAAACGAATGAGCGCACGAGAAACGGTAACAAGCGACACGTATACGTTACTCCGCCTCGAAATCAGCTGTTTACTTATCGTTGCTAAAAGGCAAGCCATTTCTTTTACACACAGAACTTGTCCTACCGTTTCTCGTGCGCTCATTCGTTTATACATTTTAATTAATTACGGAATAAATATTGAGAAAATTTCAAAATACATAACTTTTATGATTATTTTGACTCCGTTCTACATAACTTTTATGATTATTTTGACTCCGTTCTACCCGTACACGGTGGTTGCTCGATCAGTTACAGGACACCCTGTACATACAAAAACACACACGCACACACACACGCGCGCGCGCGCACACACACACATCGATTTTATGTTTCATTTTACATATTTTAAAAATTTTTATCGTTAAACTGTTGTTATTCCAATTTTAGGGAGACGAAAAGGAGAAAAAGAAAAAGAAAAAATCAAAAGACAAAGAGAAAGATAAGGAAAAGTTAGAGAAAACGGAAAAGAAAAAAAAACGCTCGATACATCGTTTGAGAGACGAGAACAAGATACAAGATGAGCTCGAGGAATTTTTGAACGGCTCAGTAACGAGAATCGGTGTTGATGTCGCCTACGAAGCGATATAGCATTCCAAAAGGATTATCAAAGTTACTAATGTTTTTTAATACGTTGACTGTCGCGCCAAGTTATGTAAGCTAGTGCATGAATTTTGCGCTATACCGAGCTGCGTTTTGTGAGCCAGCACATGACTTTCAACTATCATTTATAGCGCCGTGAGATAATTGACAGTTTACTCAGCAGTCATCGTATTAAAAATCACGCATCTTCCGAAACTTGCAAGACTTCCCTTGATGTTAATGCATGTTAAGTTCTTGTATGAAAAGACAAAATTCTTATTGGTGAGAATGGATTTTGCGAAGACGTAAACGTAAAGATGTGTTGCGAATCGCGCTATTAGTGTGTACAAAAGAATATTTTGGTCTGTTCTTTTCAGCTGCACTGCTGAATTGGTGCAATAAGTTAAAGTGAGACAAGTATATGTTTTCTCACTCTAACTTATTGCACCAGTTCAGCAGTACAGCTGAAAAGAACAGATCATTTGTTTACCATAGACGCATAAGCATGTGACCTGTTAATACCCTTCTGGAGATTGCAACATTTATTTAAATTCTACCTGCTATGATAAAGATTACAAAGATTTTACAGAAAATAATAAGTTTTAACAATCAAAAATACATTAATTTCTATTGCATTTCTGGTTTGTTGGATTTCTTATGACTTTCAATGTATATTTGAAAAACTTGAAAAATTTCCATCACACATATGAATTAATGTTGTACGAGATATATTTTTTATGGTATATGTACATACATATATATATAATATAATAATTATCGAATTTTAATATTAAAATTATTTATTATACTTTATTATTTGTTCACATATATTATGTAAAATTTAATTGCGTACATATATATATATATATATCTTTGATATCATTTTATGAATCTTGTTTATCTTATTTAGTTGGGTTTATACTCTGTCCATATCTAATTCATTTATTAAAACATTTATCTGCCAGAAAACTGTTACATTATTTTTGTTTTTTTCATAACATTGTATAGCAATGTGCAATAACAGTTTCACATTAATAAATGTATGTAAAAAGCAAACTCTGTTATTACAAAGTATTGTAACATCCCAATATTGTAGTAGACTCGATTAGAATCCTCTCTCTTTTCTCTGGTTCCAAGCCTGCGTTTTTGGTCCTTTTAAAGTCATTCTACATTAGTTGTAAGTCGATCGCAACTCTTGTTGCGACAGCCAATCAGGTGTCAATAGCACCACTAATGTTTCTGATTTGCTGTTGTAATAAGAATTGCGTCTGCTTGCAATCGGCTTGCAACTTTTGACTACCCTAATAGCACAGATGTCCAGGGGACATCCAGAGGACATCCTGAGGACATCCTGAGAACATTATTCGTCCTCAGGACGTCCTTAGGACGTCCTCAAGAGATCTTGTGCTGAGGATGAAGAATGTCCTCAGGATGTCCTCTGGATGTCCCCTGGACATCTGTGCTATTAGGGTAAGCATGGACT